AGAACAAAAAAAATTTCATAGGTAACAAATAACTATAACTATAAAATGTTAGGAACTAAATTTGTTCTTAATTTGAATTCTTAAAGTTATTCTTACAATAGCAGCATCATTAGAGTCTGGAGTAGCATCCTTCTAGTACAGATGAGATGAGATGAGATGATCGTTTTTCTTAGTCCTTTCAAAGTTTTCAAAGTTTTGTTGTGTCCGATTTTTCACTTTTATTTATAAATTGTTAAAATATTTAATATTGTTCAAACAATTTTTTTATTTTAATTTTTATTTCTGTCTTAACTTTATTTTTATTTATATTCATTCAAACTTATTTAAATTGCTTTATTTTTTATCTCTTTTTTTTATAATTTCTCACAATTGTTTCTCTTTTATTTCTCACTTCATTTAATTTACTTTGCATTTAAGTTTTCACAAGTTTTTTTTTTTTTTTTTTTTTTTTTTTTAAGTTTTCATTTTGTAATTATCATTTTAATTTCCTTTATTTTGATACTTTTTTTTATTTTTTTTTTTTAAATTCTCACTTTTTATTTAATTTAATTTACTTTGTTTTTTAATTTTTCAGGAGTTTTTTTATTTTCTTTAATAGTTTTTCATTTTTCACAATTCTTGTATCAATGTTTTTATTTTACTTTCACTTTTTTAAAATTTCCTTTATTTTGATACTTTTTTTTTTTATTTTTTTTTTTTTAAATTCTCACTTTTTATTTAATTTAATTTACTTTGTTTTTTAATTTTTCAGGAGTTTTTTTTTATTTTCTTTAATAGTTTTTCATTTTTCACAATTCTTGTATCAATGTTTTTATTTTACTTTCACTTTTTTAAAATTTTTATTTGTAAACTACCGTAATCTAGTGATCCGCGTCGCGGGCTTTAGGGGCTGTAACATAACGTTACGTCCTTTTCACAATTAAGTTACTGGGGCGCCACCTGAAGGCTTGACTTTTGTCGGAAATCCTTTCTTCGGGTTTCGAGTACCTGTTTAAAAACAGGTCCCTGCTCTCGGGCGCCAATTAATTCAATGTTAATTTATTTATTTTTTTAAAAATTTGTGATTGCTGCTTACTGCAAGCAATCACGTCTTTATTGGTTAAGGTTCCGGACTACAAAGTGAATAATGAAATAAAACTACCCTAACTTATACTTTGGATTCATGCACCCAGATGATACTGGACACCTGCTCGTGTTGGCGATGGAATGTTGCTGTCTGCCTGTTGGATGTTGTTGTCAGTGTTTCGGTGGGAACTGCAGTGTCAGCAAAATGACACGCTTATACTTTGGTTGATGAATTCTTTGGGTTGCTAATGTTGAATTTGAATATGTCTGGTGTTAACTTGTATACTTTGAAAATATTTTTGATTATTTTTACGAAGGATTTAAGGAAATAAAAGTATGGGGTCCTTCATACATTGAAAGGGAATTAGGAGAAAAATTCCAAAATTAGGGGAAAACGGCAAGATACTATTTAATGCAACTGCTTCAGATCTATGAAACCTATTTTTATACCCCCCACCTTGAAAAGAAGGGTATATTAACTTTGTCATTCCGTTTGTAACATCCTTAAATATTCGTCGTAGACCCCATAAAGTATATATATTCATAATCAGCATCAAATTCTAAGTCGATTTAACGATGTCCGTCTGTCTGTCTGTCCGTCTGTCTGTTGAAATCACGATACAGCCCAAAGCGCCAAAATTTAGCAGAGCAACGGTATTTTGATGATTTATGCCACATTTTTTCACGGATTTGTCTGAAAATTGGTATTTGTAGGTCATAACGGGTCCCTGTACGTGTGGTAAAACATTGCATGTATAGGTCCACGTTTTGTTATAGCCCCCAAATAATGGTACCTCCCGATATTCGATATTTTGATTATTTTTGCCACATTTTTTTTAACGGATTTGTCTAAAAATTGGTATTTGTTGGTCATAATGGGTTCAAGCTCCGGTGCCGAAACATTGCATGTATGGGTCCATGATTTGGTATAGCCCCCATATAACGGTACCTCCCGATATTCGGTATTTTGATGATTTATGCCACATTTTTTCACGGATTTGTCTGAAAATTGGTATTTGTAGGTCATAACGGGTCCCTGTACGTGTGGTAAAACATTGCATGTATAGGTCCACGTTTTGGTATAGCCCCCATATAACGGTACCTCCCGATATTCGGTATTTTGATGGTTTTTGCCTCATTTTTTCACTGATTTGTCTAAAAATTGGTATTTGTGAGTCATAATGGGTCCCTGTACGTGTGGTAAAACATTGCATGTATAGGTCCACGGTTTGGTATAGCCCCCAAATAATGGTACCTCCCGATATTCGATATTTTGATTATTTTTGCCACATTTTTTTTAACGGATTTGTCTAAAAATTGGTATTTGTTGGTCATAATGGGTTCAAGCTCCGGTGGCGAAACATTGCATGTATGGGTCCATGATTTGGTATAGCCCCCATATAACGGTACCTCCCGATATTCGGTATTTTGATGATTTATGCCACATTTTTTCACGGATTTGTCTGAAAATTGGTATTTGTAGGTCATAACGGGTCCCTGTACGTGTGGTAAAACATTGCATGTATAGGTCCACGTTTTGGTATAGCCCCCAAATAATGGTACCTCCCGATATTCGATTTTTTGATTATTTTTGCCACATTTTTTTAACGGATTTGTCTAAAAATTGGTATTTATTGGTCATAATGGGTTCCAGATCCGGTGGCGAAACATTGCATGTATGGGTCCATGATTTGGTATAGCCCCCATATAACGGTACCTCCCGATATTCGGTATTTTGATGGTTTTTGCCTCATTTTTTCACTGATTTGTCTAAAAATTGGCATTTGTGAGTCATAATGGGTCCTTGTTCGTGTGGCGAAACATTGTATGTATAGGTCCACGTTTTGGTATAGCCCCCATATAATGGTACCTCCCGATATTCGATATTTTGATTATTTTTGCCACATCTTTTTAACGGATTTGTCTAAAAATTGGTATTTGTTGGTCATAATGGGTTCAAGCTCCGGTGGCGAAACATTGCATGTATGGGTCCATGATTTGGTATAGCCCCCAAATAACGGTACCTCCCGATATTCGATATTTTGATTATTTTTGCCACATTTTTTTAACGGATTTGTCTAAAAATTGGTATTTGTTGGTCATAATGGGTTCAAGCTCCGGTGCCGAAACATTGCATGTATGGGTCCATGATTTGGTATAGCCCCCATATAACGGTACCTCCCGATATCCGGTATTTTGATGATTTATGCCACATTTTTTCACGGATTTGTCTGAAAATTGGTATTTGTAGGTCATAACGGGTCCCTGTACGTGTGGTAAAACATTGCATGTATAGGTCCACGTTTTGGTATAGCCCCCATATAACGGTACCTCCCGATATTCGGTATTTTGATGGTTTTTGCCTCATTTTTTCACTGATTTGTCTAAAAATTGGTATTTGTGAGTCATAATGGGTCCCTGTACGTCTGGTAAAACATTGCATGTATAGGTCCACGTTTTGGTATAGCCCCCAAATAATGGTACCTCCCGATATTCGATATTTTGATTATTTTTGCCACATTTTTTTTAACGGATTTGTCTAAAAATTGGTATTTGTTGGTCATAATGGGTTCAAGCTCCGGTGGCGAAACATTGCATGTATGGGTCCATGATTTGGTATAGCCCCCATATAACGGTACCTCCCGATATTCGGTATTTTTATGATTTATGCCACATTTTTTCACGGATTTGTCTGAAAATTGGTATTTGTAGGTCATAACGGGTCCCTGTACGTGTGGTAAAACATTGCATGTATAGGTCCACGTTTTGGTATAGCCCCCAAATAATGGTACCTCCCGATATTCGATTTTTTGATTATTTTTGCCACATTTTTTTAACGGATTTGTCTAAAAATTGGTATTTATTGGTCATAATGGGTTCCAGATCCGGTGGCGAAACATTGCATGTATGGGTCCATGATTTGGTATAGCCCCCATATAACGGTACCTCCCGATGTTCGGTATTTTGATGGTTTTGCCTCATTTTTTCACTGATTTGTCTAAAAATTGGCATTTGTGAGTCATAATGGGTCCTTGTTCGTGTGGCGAAACATTGTATGTATAGGTCCACGTTTTGGTATAGCCCTCATATAATGGTACCTCCCGATATTCGATATTTTGATTATTTTTGCCACATCTTTTTAACGGATTTGTCTAAAAATTGGTATTTGTTGGTCATAATGGGTTCAAGCTCCGGTGGCGAAACATTGCATGTATGGGTCCATGATTTGGTATAGCCCCCATATAACGGTACCTCCCGATATTCGGTATTTTGATGATTTATGCCACATTTTTTCACGGATTTGTCTGAAAATTGGTATTTGTAGGTCATAACGGGTCCCTGTACGTGTGGTAAAACATTGCATGTATAGGTCCACGTTTTGGTATAGCCCCCAAATAATGGTACCTCCCGATATTCGATTTTTTGATTATTTTTGCCACATTTTTTTAACGGATTTGTCTAAAAATTGGTATTTATTGGTCATAATGGGTTCCAGATCCGGTGGCGAAACATTGCATGTATGGGTCCATGATTTGGTATAGCCCCCATATAACGGTACCTCCCGATGTTCGGTATTTTGATGGTTTTGCCTCATTTTTTCACTGATTTGTCTAAAAATTGGCATTTGTGAGTCATAATGGGTCCTAGTTCGTGTGGCGAAACATTGTATGTATAGGTCCACGTTTTGGTATAGCCCCCATATAATGGTACCTCCCGATATTCGATATTTTGATTATTTTTGCCACATTTTTTTAACGGATTTGTCTAAAAATTGGTATTTGTTGGTAATAATTGTAACGCCCAAAAGTCATGCTTTCGTTTTTGGGGTACATTATTATTTTAAATACCATTTTTACTTACTTATGTTATATACATCAACTATGAATTATATTTTTTTGTTTGAAAATGAATTAAAATATTTAAGTTATGAATGAAACTAATAGCTACTCAGGGTCATGTAATTTAAATGTATTTGAATATTAACGGTCACACAGGTCCCCTAGTAGAAAGAAGTATACTTAAAATACAACATTGGAACCCCTGGTGGCAAATGGCGGAACTACGCAAAACTGTCAGATTGGGATCAGCTGCTGTCATGAGAAAACAACAAGCGTTGTCCAGCCAAAAAGGTATAAAAGGAGACGCATTTCACACAATCGGGATCAGTCTTCTGTTGATGGCTGGTAAGTCAAGTGTGATTGGGAGGAAGAAAAGGCGCGCAACCTCGGTTGAATTGAGTCTTAGTAAGCCAAACAATAAGCCTTGACTATTTGTGGTGACTGGACGGCGACTGAACGCAGGGTCAAGTGAGGGTTGTAGCAATACTCCCTATTCTTCGGGCTGCGTTGACGGCGACTGACGTACTCATCGGGCTGCTGCTGTGCCAAAGCTGCCGCCACCCGATTCGTCGTGCGCGTATTCATCAGGCCGCCGCTGTGCCAAGCTGCCGCCACTCCTACTCGCCGCTGACGTATTCATCGGGCCGCCGCTGTGCCAAGCTGCCACCACTGCTACCCGTTTATTAACATTTCGACTGAACTTTGTGATTTAGTGTTCCTCGTAAAACGTTCTGAACGTGATTTTATTGTGTTTAGTGTAGTGTTTAGTGTTATTTAAGGAAATAAATTTATAACGTTTTAAGAAAATATTTTTGCTTCGCTCTCTCTCTCTCTTTATGTCCTAACAAATAAATTTTTGTGACGACTCTGGCCCCCGCTGAACCTACCCCAGCTTCAAAGTGAAAACACGTCGTCACAATGGCGCCCGAGCAGGGACTATAAAAGAGAGAAAGAATAAATAAATGAGTGAACAATAATTAGACAAATACAGATGAAAACCCAGTGGAAAAAAAAAAACAGTTAAAAAAAAAAAAAAAACTGAAACAAGTAAAAATAATAATAAAAAAAAAAAAAAAAAAAAAAAAAAAATGTCAAACGAAAAGACAATGTTGAAGGTCTCCTGGGCCTATATGCTAAAGCAAGAAGACTTGGTAACATATCTTACTGAATTCAATCTTGATCCAGTTGGAAAAGTGGACGATCTCCGAAAAAGATGGGCTAAATTTCTCCACAACGACCATGAAGCCGATGTATACAGACGGCTTATAGAGTTGCAGAACAAACATGAAAGTACCAGTCCGACCAAATCGCCGACATTGCGAGCCGTCACAAAACAACCCCTTATAACCGTAACACCGTGTGGAGCAGAAGCAATAGTATTATCCCCAATAAAAACAGAGTACGCCCTTCCCCACATTTCCGCGGAAAGGTCACATGGAGAGTCAAGCACAGGGGTAACAAACGATCAAAAAGTACAGAAGATGTCGCCAACAAACCCCGAATATGGATTTCAAAAAGATTCTCCGCCCAAGCCATCCAATAATTCGTCGTTACTCGTAATTCTCGACCAAATCCGAAAATGGAATATTACTTTTGAAAATGGAATGGACCCTATTGGATTCGTAGAACGTGTAGAAGAAATGGCTGAAATGTACATCGTGGAATTGAATCAAATAATTAAAGTAATGCCAGAGTTGTTACGAGGTAAAGCTTTAATCTGGCTAAGGAACAACAACCGACACTGGACTACCTGGAACGAATTTAAGAGTGATTTTCTGAAATTCTTTTTGCCACCGAGATACTTTGAGAAATTGGAGGATGAAATTAGGAGAAGGATACAGCGTAATAAGGAGCCGTTTAAGGAATATGTACTCTCTATACAGCATCTTATGCAGCACACCAATATGACCGAAGAACAAAAATTGGAACGAATTTTTAGAAACGCGCATTCGGATTATCAATGGTACATTCGCCGTAAAGACTTTACCACACTTTCGGAATTGATCTCCTTGGCAGACGAACTCGAAAGCATACCAAATAATTCTCGGTCAGAACAGCCTCGAAATCAACAAAACTATAATCGACGTGCGGACAACTCTAGAAATAACCTGTATTGCACCAATCAAGGTGACCAAGTGCTAAACGAAAGCTCATCCAATCCAGAAACGCAGCAGGATGAACCCCCGGCAAAGAAGAGTAACCAGAATATTACCTCATTGCAATGTGAAGAATATCGCCTTACTGCAACTGTCTTAATAGAGGGGAAAGCTATTAAAGCAACTGTCGACACTGGTGCCACTAGCTGTTTTATAAAAAGAGAATTTGCGGAAAAAATCAAGAAAAGGTTTACTTATTCACGGCATGAGGCAAATGTTATCCTCGCAGACGGCACCACGGTGAACATCACAAGATCAACAGTGTTACCTGTTACATTTGGAAACCAAAGCTCAGATGTTACATTTCTCATCATGCCGCAATTCAAGGAAAACATCATATTGGGATTGGAATTTCTAAAACAGTTCCACACGACCATTCACTGCGCCGGTATAAGTGTCAAATTAAGTAAGCCAACCACATCAACGGAGCATTGTACCGTGGCTATAGGAGAGGAAACCCCATCAAAAGAGGTAATAGATACAATGACAGCTACGAATAATGTATCCCCCAGACCTAAATTCTTAAACGATGAATTGAGTAAAACGCAATGTGAGATCGTTGAAAATTTTCTGGCACAGGAACTCCCTAAGTTCCAACAATTAAATGGCCTATCGTCAATAGCTGAACATAAGATTGTAATGACCGACGATCGACCCATTAAATTAAGATATGCTCCGCGAAATCCTGCAATGCAAGCCGTGATTAATGCCGAAGTGAGAAAGCTCGAAGAACGAGGATGTATAGAGCCGTCTACAAGCCCATACTGTTTCCCCATCACATTAGTCAGAAAGAAAAATGGGAATTGGAGAACTTGTATGGATTTTCGCCAATTGAATAAACGTTCTGTTCCAGATGCCTACCCTTTACCCCGCATCGACACAATACTGAATCGACTACGGGATGCCAAATACGTGAGTAGCCTGGACCTTAAAGACGGATATTGGCAAATACCTATGGCGAAGGAGAGCAGAAAATACACGGCCTTTGCGGTAGCTGGTAAAGGTCTATATCAGTGGAAAGTGATGCCTTTCGGTTTGCATTCAGCACCGGCAACCTTCCAACGGGCATTAGATAGTGTGATTGGGCCTGAAATGGACCCCCACGCTTTTGCATACCTTGACGATATCATCGTCATTGGAAAAACGTTTGAGGAACACTTGCGGAACTTGAGAGAAGTGTTCAGAAGATTGCGATCAGCTAACCTGAGAATAAACATTGAGAAATGCGAATTTTTCAGAAAAGAAACGAAGTATTTAGGCCATGTTGTGAGTAGCGAGGGAATAAAGACGGATCCAGATAAAGTTGCCGCAATAGTGGAAATGAAACCTCCAACATCGGTAAAGGAGGTACGAAGATTTCTTGGAGTAGCATCTTGGTACCGAAGATTTGTCCCACAGTTTGCAACAATTTCACAACCATTGACTAGTCTTCTTAAAAAGGGAAAACATTGGAAATGGGGTCCCGAACAACAAGAAGCATTCTCAGACCTAAAAGCAAAGTTAACTGAAGCCCCCGTTCTGGCTTGTCCGGATTTCACAAAGACGTTCATATTGCAAACTGATGCCAGCAACTATGGCCTTGGAGCAGTTCTAACACAGGAGTTAGATAACGTGGAACGTGTCATAGCCTACGCCAGCAGACATTTAAAACAGGCTGAAAAGAACTACTCAGCGACTGAAAAGGAATGTCTAGCCATACTGTGGGGCATCAGACACATGAGACCCTATTTAGAGGGTTACCAGTTTATAGTTATTACCGATCATTTGGCCCTAAAATGGTTAAATTCTATTGAAAGCCCTACAGGTCGACTCGCACGTTGGGCTCTCGAGCTACAGCAATATAATTTTTTGATCAGATACCGTAGAGGAAAACAGAACGTTGTGGCGGATGCGCTTTCGAGAACACCTTTGGAAACGTTAGACCTAGCCACAGTAAAATATGACACCAGTCCGTGCCCATGGCTAGAAAAGTTGAAGGAAACCATAACCAAGAATCCGAAGAAGTATCCAGACTATACAATCATTGAGGGAAATGTTTATCGACATTTTCCCAAGCAAATAAACGATGAAGATTGCACACCATGGAAGCTGTGTGTGCCCACCGGATCAAGGATTCAGGTCCTTAGAGAAAATCATGACAGTGTCACCGGAGGTCATTTGGGAGTGCGAAAGACTAGCAACAAGGTGGCGAACCGATATTTTTGGCCTGGTATGTTCCAGGACATCAAACGTTATGTCCAGCAGTGCGAATGTTGCCAAAAATATAAAGTCAGCCAACAGAAACCAGCAGGGGAAATGTTGATAAGAATCCCGGAGGAACCATGGGCCACTATTTGTGCGGACTTCGTAGGACCCCTACCGCGATCTAAGCACGGTAACTCAATGCTACTCGTTATTATGGATAGATTCTCAAAATGGACGGAGTTGGTTCCATTGCGGAAGGCTACGACAGAGGGATTAATAAAGGCATGCAGAGAAAGAATTATTTCTAGATATGGGGTTCCAAAAATATTGATAACCGATAACGGAACCCAATTCACTAGCAACCAATTCGAAAAATTCCTAGCAGAAATGGGTATAAAGCATCAACTTACGGCTCCTTACACCCCGCAAGAGAACCCTACTGAAAGGACAAATCGGACAGTGAAAACAATGATAGCACAAGTTTCGAAACAACATAATACATGGGACGATATGCTGCCCGAAATAATGTTAGCCATAAACACTAGTGCATCAGAATCCACTGGATATTCGCCGGCATACCTGACACAAGGAAGAGAACCGCGACTGCCCCAGGCATTATATGATCAGCTCACAACAGGAACTGGTGCTAGAATAGTCTTACCAGAAGACCGTGCCCAGGAGTTGAAAGAAATATTTAAGATAGTGCGTCGAAACTTGGCAAAAGCATCTCAAAACCAGCGGAGACAGTACAACCTTAGACGACGAGTTTGGAAACCAAAGATTGGGGAGCAAGTTCTAGTTCGTCTACATCCTCAGTCGAAGGCCGTCGAAAATTTCGCCGCCAAACTAGCGCCCAAATACGGAGGGCCGTTTGTCGTACAAAAATTCCAATCTCCAGTAATCGTTGTAGTCCGAGGAAAAGACAACATCACCCGCGTCGCGCACTTAAGTGAAATTAAGCCTTTTTATGAAGAACAAAATTAAATTGTAGACATAGAAGTAGAATGTTGATTGTAGTTCCACTTACGTTTATGTGATGCCATTTCATTATAATTTCTTATTTTATTTTTAGACATTAAATTGACAATACCCAAACTAATCAGTGTCCTAATATAAGCCCATACTTCAAAGACCATCGCAATTCTCAAAATTTCAACATCACGATGGAGCAAGATAGCCCCAACACGAAAAAATTCAAACGGGCGAAGGAGAAATTTCGAGCTCATCTGGAACAAGTCGAGGCTCAAAGGCGAAGGACAATATTTTTAGACGAAGGTCCTAGTACCAGCCGAAAGAGGAGAACAAATCAATACCGTAAGCCCAATCCAAGAAAGGGTAGCAGTCAATCCTCATCGCCCCAGCACCAAATATTTTACCGAATGTGCAGCACAACCCCGAATGACGTTCCACAGCAAAAGTGTAACACGACCGAAAACAACAGCGACGATATCGATGAAACTGACTCTTTGAACGAGGAAACCCAGCCTAGTAGTGACGTCCCGCGTACACCAACCTACGCCCCGTGTTTTGGTTCGCCAAATAGCTTTAAGCCGGCTTCCGATGTGCTCTCAACACCCACTTCAAGGTGCTCAGAAATGCCTGCTACACCGGGTAAAGAATGGTGTCGTGACTCAGATGACGCATCAACTCTTCCTCGGCCCAATATGGAGGAGTCGGATGAATCTCAATCAAATTTCGAAATGGAGGAAGAATGTCGGCGTATGTTTTACGGTTACTTAGAAACCTCAGTGACTCGGCGAGCACAGTCACCCTTATCCTCGAATAATTCCTCGCTGGATGAGTCGGATAACGAAGATCAACGTTCCTCGTCTCCGCCAAAAAGGTATGGTCTGGGATTTGTCCGTCAGAAAGATAGCCAATACAAATATCTCGGATTTCGCTGTTATGAGAGAACAGTTACTGTGCAGCTTTTGGTCCCCGACTCCGGGGAAAATCCAATATATGAAATAACCAACCCACCGCCGGATAATCATCGTACGCCCTCACCCACACCCGCGATAGGGGAAGAGATCAACACCGAAGATATCCATTCAATATCCAACACCTCACACAAACATGAGGAGGTTCCTACTTCATCCTCACATGCTTTCGCACATTTAGAAGAAGACTCCAGATCGACCGCAAGTAGTTTTGTGACAGTTTCCGAAGATCCTAGTTCTGAGTGGTGGACCCAATGGCAGACGCTGGTTGGTGTTCCTCCATCATCACCGCTATATAACATAACCGAACAAGCAAATCTGTTGCATAGTGATGACGTACAAATTCCATCGCAATCCAATGCTGCCGTCATATCGGACGATCACAGGTCCCCCAACGTGAAGGAAGATAAATCATTACCAGGAACGCCGGGATACGTTGTCGAACTGTCATCACCATCGATATCTTCCCGATCGTCATCCTCATCCTCATCAGCCTCGTCGTCTTTATCGTCATCCTCATCCTCATCAGCCTCGCCGTCTCGCCTCGACAGACAATCCCGTGAACGATAACACATTTCTCGAACTGCCAAATTATCCCGAAAACCTACAAATCCGTATCGAGAAGTTTAAAAACAATTGGAAAAAGGGACACAAACTGAAGCGAATTGTTAAACAAGATGGCAAGCAGTACCGCATAATAATATCAGCAGACGGGGTAGTGAAGGTATCTCTCCGAACTTCTGCAATTGGTCTCTAACATACCTTCCTATTCGACCGAGATATAGTCGAACCAAAGTGCCCATGTCGGAGAAATAAAAGGTTACATAACACCCTAGGGCTTCCTGGCTATTGAAACCCAATAGCAATAGAGAAAGCAAATCAAGGAATCAAAAATCAGAGGGAGGAAGAGATGCCATGTAACGCCCAAAAGTCATGCTTTCGTTTTTGGGGTACATTATTATTTTAAATACCATTTTTACTTACTTATGTTATATACATCAACTATGAATTATATTTTTTTGTTTGAAAATGAATTAAAATATTTAAGTTATGAATGAAACTAATAGCTACTCAGGGTCATGTAATTTAAATGTATTTGAATATTAACGGTCACACAGGTCCCCTAGTAGAAAGAAGTATACTTAAAATACAACATTGGAACCCCTGGTGGCAAATGGCGGAACTACGCAAAACTGTCAGATTGGGATCAGCTGCTGTCATGAGAAAACAACAAGCGTTGTCCAGCCAAAAAGGTATAAAAGGAGACGCATTTCACACAATCGGGATCAGTCTTCTGTTGATGGCTGGTAAGTCAAGTGTGATTGGGAGGAAGAAAAGGCGCGCAACCTCGGTTGAATTGAGTCTTAGTAAGCCAAACAATAAGCCTTGACTATTTGTGGTGACTGGACGGCGACTGAACGCAGGGTCAAGTGAGGGTTGTAGCAATACTCCCTATTCTTCGGGCTGCGTTGACGGCGACTGACGTACTCATCGGGCTGCTGCTGTGCCAAAGCTGCCGCCACCCGATTCGTCGTGCGCGTATTCATCAGGCCGCCGCTGTGCCAAGCTGCCGCCACTCCTACTCGCCGCTGACGTATTCATCGGGCCGCCGCTGTGCCAAAGCCGCCGCCACCCTATTCGCCGCTCGCCTATTCATCGGGCCGCCGCTGTGCCAAAGCCGCCGCCACCCTATTCGTCGCTCGCCTATTCATCGGGCCGCCGCTGTGCCAAGCTGCCGCCACTACTATTCGTCGCTCGCCTATTCATCGGGCCGCCGCTGTGCCAAAGCCGCCGCCACCCTATTCGTCGCTCGCCTATTCATCGGGCCGCCGCTGTGCCAAGCTGCCGCCACTACTATTCGTCGCTCGCCTATTCATCGGGCCGCCGCTGTGCCAAAGCCGCCGCCACCCTATTCGTCGCTCGCCTATTCATCGGGCCGCCGCTGTGCCAAGCTGCCGCCACTCTATTCGTCGCTCGCCTATTCATCGGGCCGCCGCTGTGCCAAGCTGCCACCACTGCTACCCGTTTATTAACATTTCGACTGAACTTTGTGATTTAGTGTTCCTCGTAAAACGTTCTGAACGTGATTTTATTGTGTTTAGTGTAGTGTTTAGTGTTATTTAAGGAAATAAATTTATAACGTTTTAAGAAAATATTTTTGCTTCGCTCTCTCTCTCTCTTTATGTCCTAACAAATAAATTTTTGTGACGACTCTGGCCCCCGCTGAACCTACCCCAGCTTCAAAGTGAAAACACGTCGTCACATAATGGGTTCCAGCTCCGGTGGCGAATCATTGCATGTATGGATATATGATTTGGTATAGCCCCTATATAACGGTACCTCCCGATATTCGGTATTTTGACGGTTTTTGCCTAATTTTTTCACTGATTTGTCTAAAAATTGGTATTAGTGAGTCATAATGGGTCCTAGTTCGTGTGGCGAAATATTGTATGTATAGGTCCACGTTTTGGTATAGCCCCCATATAATGGTACCTCCCGATATTCGATATTTTGATCACTTTTGCCACATTTTTTTAACGGATTTGTCTAAAAATTGGTATTTGTAGCCCCTATATAACGGTACCTCCCGATATTCGGTATTTTGATGGTTTTTGCCTAATTTTTTCACTGATTTGTCTAAAAATTGATATTTGTGAGTCATAATGGGTCCTAGTTCGTGTGGCGAAACATTGTATGTATAGGTCCACGTTTTGGTATAGTCCCCATATAACGGTACCTCCCAATATTCGGTATTTTGATGATTTTTTACACATTTTTTCACGAATTTCACTGAAAATTTGGTAGTTGTTGATCATAATGGGTTCTAGCTCCGTTGGCGGAACCTTGCATGTGTAGGTCCACGATTTGGTATAGCCCCCTCCCGATATTCGGCATTTTAATGGTTTTTGCCACATTTCTTCTAATGTTTCCTTTACCCTAAGGTGGAGGGTATTAAAAGTTTGGCCCGGCCGAACTTATTGTTTGTTTTACTTGTTTATATTCAATGATTTTCAGCAATTAGAAAGTTCTAGTGTATTCCGAGACTTATGGTACTGTTCTCTGGCGCTCAAGACTTTATGTAGTTTTTGTATTTTTTTTTTCTTTTTTTTTGAAGAAACGGACCATAAAAACTCCTTTCCTTTCTCGGATTGTTGCAATTGGTATTGCCGATGACACTACATACCCAGAATGCTTGAATTCCAAGGCACCTTAGTCGAATATTTAAAAAATGTATTTTTGTTAAATCAGTGCGGAAAAATTGGGCCTCATTGGAATAGCTTTAGAAACAAATTCGTCTCAGGAAATATGTATTCAATCTAGCCAAGTCCAATTGTACGTTTGGCCGCACGACAATCCTCGGAATGTTCAATTTGGTATAAAATTCTAAGCTTTGTAATATTTATTTAATACATGGGTTACACATTTATACCCTACAACACATAGTTGTAAGGGTATTATGTCTTCGTGTATTTGTTTGTAACATGACGAAGAAAGCGAGATAGACCCAACATTTACTGTTGAATATCTTTATAGAATCACATTCTGAGTCGATTAATGCATGTCCGTCCGTCTGTCCATGTATTTTTGTGAACAAAATGCAGATCGCATTAATTATCCGATTGAGATGACATTTTCCAAACAATATTTATTTGGCCTATGGACGAACTGTATTGCAATTGGTGAGAATCGGTTCAAATTTAGATATAGCTCCCATATATATCTTCATCTGACTTGTCTTTTACTGTGCACTAAATATGTAATATTAGTACAAATAGGATGGAATTTGGCACATGCAACCAAATTGAGCATAGAGGGATGTATGTCAAATTCTGTCAAGATCGTTTCGATATAGGTCCACATATATATTTATCCGATTTCAGGCACTTATTTCTGGTACCAATGATCATTGTTGTGGAGTGCATAATACGCATGTGAGGGACATGTGCACTCGGATGAAATATATATATATATGGGATCTATAGCTATATTTGAACCGATTTTTGGTTAAATTTGATGTACTTGTTTTCTAGACTAAATTCGTTGTGCCAAAATTCAGGTCAATTGGACAGATGTTGGCCGTTTGGAGCACAATTAACCCGAAATCGGTTGAAGATATATGGGAGCCAATTTCAATAGAGTTCGTGCTTGGGCCAAACAAAAATTGTTTGCCAATCTGTTAAAAATGTCCTGCATTTTGTTCACAAAAATACGTGGACAGGTCGACCGTACTTTGAATACCCTCCACCATTTGGAACGAATTTGGCAATTCTCAAAAACAATAAAATCCGCTAAAAATTCTGTTCAAATATTAGAAATACTGAATTTAGCATTTATATTAGGGTCAATACGATGACATGGACCTGCGTAGGTAACTTTTGTCATATGCCATTACAATATTCAGATGCGAAATTTGAAAAAAAAAAAAAAATCGGTAAGTAATGTAGCTGAAAACACTAAAATACAGAATATAGGGAGGTATCAAAACGTAAACCTGCCCAGACAATTTTTTTCATAGGCTGTAGTATCCATTGCGAGCTTCAAATACCAAATATGAAACATTTCCTGTGAAAAATGTCGCTAAAATCATCAACCGTTATATGGGGACTATACCAAAACGTGGACCTACATGGCCCATTTTCAATACCAAAAGTCCTGCAGATATGATATACATTTGAGTAAAATTTTATCAATCTACCTCATTTCGTTCGGAAGATAGAGTGATTTCCACAGACGGACCGACATACAGATGGACGGTCATCGTTAAATCGACATAGAATTTTATGATGTTGAAGAATTTATATACTTTGTGGGGCCTAAAATATATATTTCCTCCTGGTGGAGGGTATAAAAATACAGAAAAATAAACACACTTTTATTTGCATCTTTTTATGCGATTTTTCAAGATCTTATTCTTTTGTGCCAAAATGTCATTCAGAATTGATAAAAATGGTTAAAATCCGTTCAGTCGTTCTTAAGTTATAAAAGGCCTAACTAACATCTAATCTTGGATATCAGCATCATTGAAACGGCCAGAACTGGCCTTTTCCAGTATTTGTGATTTCGCTGGAATTAAAAATGTTCGTGGTTTAGTGGAAATTTCCAAAAATTTTTATATGAAAATTATAGTTTATTTCAACCGCTAAATTTTATTCACCGAATATTCAAATTGGTAGGCTTCTGTCCAACTCTGAACTCTTGTCCCATGCAAAATTTCAAGTCGATTGTTCTGTAATTGTGACCTGTAGAGCAACTGCAAAATCAATAATTTTTCTGTTTTGGGTCTATTTCAATCCCTTGATATTTTGCGATACTCTCCAAAAACACTATGCTTCAATTCCGACCCTAACCCTCCTGAAAAATTTCGGGCCATAATTGTAATCTGTAGCGTGATCAAAAATTAATGAATAGACGGACGTCGATCTAATTATTTGTATGTTAGATCGATTCAGGACAATCCATTAATAATATATTATGTGAGGGACCGATATTTCGAGGTGTTATATAACGTAGGGTACATAGTGTTGTAGGGTATAAAACATATTAATGTTTCATTGTATCAACATTAGATA